AGTAGCATATTGTTTAGTCTCCATGTTTGTGTTTTTTGAAGTTTTTTTCTTGTAGTTGATTTCTAGGCTAAGAGACTAGATCTTAATCATTCCCATCACAATAAAGAATTGATTATTATGTGACGTGATAGAGGTGTTACTAACCCTATGGTGGTATCAAATCAACATACTGCACACCTTAAACTTACACAATGTTATGTCAATTAAAAAATTATAACATCTGCTTTTATCTTCTGAGCCTAGAACTTCCATTTTACTTATTTGTATGTATAATTTTAATATTCACTGGGGACAAAACTACCCTATAAACAGAAGGAATATTATTCTTTTATTCAAAACCTCCACGAGAATTGATCACCATTTTGGAAAATGATGTTTCCAACAGTAACATCATTCAATTTCTTTGAGTGACCAATAAAACACACCTGTTATCAGTATGCATTTAAAGTTGTAACACTGGTACTTCCCTGGCGGTTCAGTGGTTAAGACTTCGAGGACACTGCAGGGGGCATGGGTTTGATCCCTGGTTGGGGAACTAAGATTTCCCCATGCCACGTGGTGTGACCAAAAAAATAAATAAGTAAATAAAGTTGTAACATTATAGCTCTTCAGGAATCATGAATTTAGTCTCTATTTTAAAATACCAAATAGAGTTATCAGTACGCTATTGAACAGTTTTACTTCTTCCATATATAAGAGAAAGCACCTGACTACTTCATTGTTTTCTAGTGTAGTAGTATCTGGGCATTTACATATTGAAATGCATATTTTATTAAAAATTGATTTATTTCTCCTTTTTATTACAATAAAGGCATTGGACTGATCCTTTTTGAAACTGTGTATATAGGTAAGTTATATATGAATTTTGTTTTAGGATAGTGGGTGTGATAGATGTTATAAACGTTCCCATGTTTTAATAAGGAGGGTTTGCTAAGTCTGGTATAGTTGAGAACCACAATCTCAGAACAAGTTCTTTGAGGGCAGGAAATGTGTTCTGATTTCTTACAGCACGCTTGCACCCACTAAGTTCTCAATATTCAATTTCACCCTGTTGCAGTTTCTGTTTCGCCTTTTCAGAAGCCCTTATTTGCTCCTCCATTCTGGCAGTTTCAGTTTGGATGTGGTGTCTACCCTCATGTAGGTAACTGCAGTAAATATGATCTAAGTCAGAGTGGTCTCAGTCCCTCTGTCAATGATTAGAGCCAAGCGAGTGACCCAATTCTGGTTTGAGACATAAGGAGAATTCTGCTGATGAGCTTTGAGAAAGGTTTTACACTCATTAAAGACACAAAAGGAAAAACAGGTTATTTTCTTTCACTGGACATTGTTTGTACAATGACACCTGGAATCATAGTAGGCGTTTTTGTTTTTTTTTAATTAATTAATTTATTTATTGTTGGCTGCGTTGGGTCTTCGTTGCTGTGCACGGGCTTTCTCTAGTTACAGTGAGCCGGGGCTACTCTTTGTTGTGGCTCACGGGCTCTAGAGCGCAGGCTCAGTAGTTGTGGCACACGGGCTTAGTTGCTCCGCGGCATGTGGGATTTTTCTGGACCAGGGCTCGAACCCGTGTCCCCTGCATTGGCAGGCGGATTCTTAACCACTGCGCCACCAGGGAAGTTCTCATAGTAGGCGTTTTTGATCACAGGTATTATTAGCCCCCCAAAAAACTGCTAAGAATGACAGTTTGGCAAAGATGGAAGGAAACCAGAGTGCCTGATAGTTCTGAATCCTCTATTAACTCATTCCAGAACCTCTGAAGTGCTTGTTACATCTGATAGAGTTAGGTCTTTTCTTTTTTTTTTTTTTTGCGGTACGCAGGTCTCTCACTGTTGTGGCCTCTCCCATTGCGGAGCACAGGCTTCGGACGCACAGGCTCAGCGGCCATGGCTCACGGGCCCAGCCGCTCCACAGCATGTGGGATCTTCCCAGACCGGGGCACAAACCCGTGTCCCCTGCATCGGCAGGCGGACTCTCAACCACTGCGCCACCAGAGAAACCCAGGTCTTTTCTTATTGTCAGCAGCATGCATCTTTACCGATATAACCCTCTTCACAGGCAGCTGTGTTGCCAAGGAATATTTATATACACTGTACGCAATCCTGGTCAGAATGCTATATGGGGAAGCCGTAGCGATTCTCTCACAGTCATCAGCTCCTATTCAGACCATATGTATTATAACTGAGTCTCATGTAGGGTTCATGAGCAACTGATTTATTTTACATTAACAGTAAGCTATACAGTCTGGCTGTCCAATAATGGAAAAGAAGAAAACTTCTTGTGCTCTAATTCACCCTTTCATGTCACCGCTGCTCAGATAAATTAATTTAGAAGTGAATTGTTCTAATCCCTAGCAAGGCCCAGTGATACAATACATATTTTTTCAATGCATACAGGGATCAGATTTAAGGAGTAGCAAGGGCTATCTTTTGGCAAGTTTTCCTTAGCAAGTAGAGAAGGCTTCTTTCTGAGGAAAAAAGGTTTAAATGACTAAATTTATGAATCTAATAACCCTCCCACTTGGTAATGCTAGTACCCAAAATGTACCAGCACTGGTTTCCATGACTCATTTTTGGTATTTGTCTTCTCTTCTTCTCTGCACTTTTTCCACCAAAATCCTTTATCCATTTACTTTCCTCTTCTCATCTTCCCGACCCTTCCTTATCCATAGAAATTATGTGCTTTGCCTGATGTATAGAATTACAACTATTCCCAGTTCTCAATGAGTCTGCAAGCCCCTTCAAAAATCCTTGCAGTACTCCCCAAGGGCACATTTTTTTTTTAAAAGAACATGCTGGATAGAAGTTTACAAATTAAACACAGTCTTTTCTAAAATTTTATTTTACTTCAGTCTATAAGTACTGCTTTTTGTTTGAACTGCTCGCATAAATCCATTCCATCCAAAAAGGAAATGAAAGTGCTTCTAGCAGTGTAAGCACAGTTGGCAAGGCCTACCCAAAGGTCTTCCACTAGAGTCCACAAAAAATCCAGATGTAGTTAAACCACAAACTGGATGTTCTTATTATCTGTGCCATAAGAGATTTTCAAAATCAGTTTGTTTTTTAAAACCTATCAAATGTCAATCATGGGGCTTTCCTGGTGGCGCAGTGGTTGAGAATCTGCCTGCTAATGCAGGGGACACGGGTTCGAGCCCTGGTCTGGGAGGATCCCACATGCCGCGGAGCAACTAGGCCCGTGAGCCACAACTACTGATCCTGCGCGTCTGGAGCCTGTGCTCCGCAACAAGAGAGGCTGCGATAGTGAGAGGCCCGCACACCGCGATGAAGAGTGGCCCCTGTTTGCCACAACTAGAGAAAGCCCTCGCACAGAAACGAAGACCCAACACAGCCATAAATAAATAAATTTTAAAAATTAAAAAAAAAAAATGTCAATCATGGCAGGGAAGACCACTGAGCTGATTTCTGATAACTAAGTTATGTTATCACTGAACATAATTTATCCTAAATGATTACTGGCATCTGGAAGACCTTGGGGTAGGGGCTCTTCACAAGAAACACAAGCACCACTTGCACAGGGACAACCAGGCATCCCCAGAGCAGCCGCACGCTCCAGACTTCCTCCACTGCTTCTTCCTCACCGTGGTACTCAGGCTCGAAAGCTGAGAGGACAATGCTCAAACTCTTTGAAGGTTTTTACAAAGAACACTAGTGAAGGAGGTACTGTGAGGTACTAATTTTTTTTTTAATTTATTTATTTTATTTATTTTATTTTTGGCTGCATTGGGTCTTTGTTGCTGCACGCGGGCTTTCTCTAGTTGTGAGCAGGGGCTACTCTTCGTTGCTGTGCGCGTGTTTCTCATTGCGGTGGCTTCTCTTGTTGCAGAGCACGGGCTCTAGGCACGCAGGCTTCAGTAGTTGTGACTCACGGGTTGTAGAGCGCAAGCTCAGTAGCTGTGGCACACGGTCTTAGTTGCTCCGTGGCATGTAGGATCTTCCCGAACCAGGGCTTGAACCCGTGTCCCCTGCATTGGCAGGCAGATTCTCAACCACAGCGTCACCAGGGAAGCCCCAAGGTACTAATTTTTGAGGTATAATCTAAATACTAAAAATGATGATGAGATCTTGAGTCCTTAGCCTATTTATATTGCCTTGGATTCATTAATTTTGCATGTCCAGCCTACTTTCTATCTCACAGGATACTGTGGAGGATTAAGGGAGATAAAGTATGTGACAGCCTAGTCCGTATCTGCATACCCAGTATGTAATATTCCCATCCTCTTCCCCATCCCAAAATAAAGAGGTTAGTCCTTCAACTTTCAAAGTACTTTGTAACGAAGAAGAAATTAGTTTTTCTATCCACATCCTTGTCAGCATAATTCTGAATTTCTCCCAAGAGTAACTTTTCTTTTGTAAAATAAACTTTATACTATTTGAAATATACATGAAGCTTCATTTTTGTTTGGGGTTCTTTACTTCCCATTCTGAAGTTACTTCTGAGGAACTGAAACCTCAGAAGGTAATCACAACAAAACATATTAAGTGGGTTTTTTTTTTTTTTAAATGATGATTCAAAGGCAGACTTGTAGGCTTGTATCTCGTCAGAAGATAGAAGGCAAATGCAGCCTCTGAACGGAATTGTTCTAATTATTGCCTAAAAAAGCAGTTATACAACTACGTTCAAGGACATAAGACAAAGCACTACTTTAAAACTAGAATGACTGAACAGTTAGGTGAAAAACATAGCTGAAATAGGAAAGGGAAATAGACTTAAGAACAATTTGAATTGAGACAATAATCCATCAGTCCTAGTTGCTTCTGTTAAATGAATATCTTGAATCACATTGTCTCCTTTTTTACCTTCCACAATGTCTTCACTGAAATCTCAAAGCAGCATTCTCACAGAACTAAATAATAGTTATCATTTTGTTAGGATTCAAAATTTCAATCCAGTAGCCATCAGGATCTTGAATAAATGCCAGGCCTTTCATTTTACCTGTAAAACAAAATGATTTTCATTATTGAAAAGACTTTAAAAAAAAACCTTAAAAATTTTAAATACATTTTTTATTAATTCAATTTTTAATTTGCATTTTAGTTAATTACATTGTTTTGTTTATAGTTTTAACTTAAAAAAATTCTATTGTCGGTGTTGCCCAGATGCACGATTTTCAGAATGACATATTTTATCTTCTACACATAGCTGTAAACAAACTCTCCTGAAATAAACTGTGGGACTGGCTGCATCTTGTAAGTATCAGGTATTTATTTCACCTGCACATTATCACTTCATGCTACTAGTTGAGTAGTCAAAGAAATTGTCTTATTTTAAAGAGGATAAAGGAAGTAGATAGGTGCTCAAGGGAGGAGGTAGCATGGCTTATCTACACAGCCAAAGGACCGAGATGCTTAGGTCATACACTATTCTATGTAACCCAAGCTCTGCCAATCAGATTCTTTCTCCCAGGAATTCAAAACTGGGATTGAGAGGTTAGTAGGTCTAGTAGTAGAGTTCTTTGCTTAAATGGAAAAATGTGACCTTGGAAATTTATTTTGGTACCGAGATGCTGAAGTAGTTGACTCCTATCTCTGGCTCCTTTCTTCAAGATCAACCCCAGAGGAACACAGATTAAAAAAATAGGGAAAAAAAAAAAAAAAGTACAATGCCCCTGAGGTGATAGTTGGGGAGAGGAATGGTGGGCGTGGGGTAGTGACTGTTTTAACCTGCTTTGTGTGGAAGCGGGTACTTTTGGCTGGACCACAAGGCTGTGGGAGAATAAACAGGAGTTTTGTTAGTTTGGCTCTTGCTTCTCCCAGTGCCTTGGGCATTGGCACCTACTCCCACGGGGTGGGGGTGGGGGGCTTGAAACTACTGGTTCAAATGTCCTCGGGAGTAGATAAGGGCAGAAAGACAGGTGGGTACCAACTGATCTCACTTTCCCCACAACCAGGGTGAGGGAAAGACAATCCCAGAAGTGTCTCCTACTAATACTACTACTCCATCAGGGACAAAGTGGGGGAAAAGGATCTGACTACAGAATGTGAAGTGTTTAACTCTTATTTTCTCTCTCTGCTCAGCACATCTCCCTGAGAACATGTGGATTTTTAAGGACTGAGGTCTGGCCTTCCCCCATTCACACTGCCTGATGTTTGGAATAGCTAATGGTTTCAGTTTCAAAACAAAAGACCTCTGAGACCAAAATAATAAGAATTTGAGGAATATAACTATAAAACAAACAATGGATTATACATTCAAACAGAAGAACAAATATTAGATCAATGGGGACCAATAACTATTAAGACATGTAAAAGCAACGAGGAATATTCAATACGACCAATACGAAACAAGAACAAGAAAACATTAAAGGAGCCCAGCAAAAATTCAGGATCAATATCATAATAGCTGAAATTAATTACATAATAGGTGAGAATACAGAAGATAAATATAAGAACAGACACATCTGAGGAAAAATTAGCTAACTGGTATGCCAGTTTGAAGAAATCTCCCAGAAGGAAGGCAAGGACAAAGAAATAACAAATATAAAAAGCCTCTAGAACAAAACAGAAGAAACTATATGAAGGAACACAAATCAGATTTTTCAGCAGCAACACTGGATGGGAAAAATAAGACAATACAGATGTACTTTCAAGACTGAAGGAAAATAAACCTAAGATTTTACAGTCAACAACACTGTCATTCATATGTATAAAGGCATGGTTCTGGGACATACAGAGCTTCAAGAGTTTTGCCTCACAAACCCTTTAAAAACAGTTTTGGTTGAGGTACTTAATAAAGGAACGGAAAAATCTGAAAGATGCTGCAAGAGATCTATGGAGAAAAAATATATACCTTGATATATTTATTACCTTAAAATAAAAAGCCAAAGCCAAAGAAAAAGGAAAAATAAATCAATAATATCCCAGCCTGAGTAACAGCAACATAATGGAGGTAGAGGGAAGCAAGTTCTTTCCTTACTAGGGAGGAGGATATTTGGATATCAAATCTCCTAATTGAAAAAAACAAAGGATTGAAATGAAACAGTGAAATATTTCAAATGAAAATTAAATAGTAAATTATGGTGGCAAAAACAGATCTAAATAAAATAATTATAATACATGTAAATCCAACAAAATCCAGATATATACTATGTCAAGCAATATATGTAAAACTGAAGGACACGCAAAGGTTGAAAAAGGATGAAAAAAAATTCAGGAAATTATTAACTGAAGAGACTTGGTGTAGTTACATTAACAGCAGATGAAACAGACTTTAAGGAACTTACTTTTTTGGGTGGTTAGATATACCCGAGAGAGTGAAAGCTGGTGTCACTGAGAGAATGGTAGGGTCAAAGGGTGGAGAGAGAGCCTAGGTCCTTGACAGCTCTCTAGATCCTGTGACTAGTCCCATGTGAAGCCACCCTAGGTGCTGCCTTTCAGTTCCCTGAGATAACTAGGTATTCTTCCAATCATTTCCCCTCTTTCCTTAAGCTGGCTGGAGTAGAATTCCAAGTTACTTGCAACCAAAATGATTTTATTACAACAGTACCCTCTGTGGGTACTTAGTAAATGTTATATAACTAAACATAGGCCTGAAGAAAACAAGTAGCAGACTCACCATCATCAGGTTTCTTCACAAATTTGACTCCCAGTTCTTCAAATCTTTTACAAGCACCGTGAACATCAGGAACAGCAATTCCAATGTGACCTTAGGTAATCACCCCCAAAACAAGGCAGAGAGAAAGAAGGAAAAATTACAACAGGGTACCCATGTGCCACAAGTGGCTTCCAAAACTAGTTTATTTCAAAACATAAGGCATCTGAAAACAGACTGAATCAAGCTGGTTCAAAACCTATAATACATTAAAGAACAAGAATCTAACTGGCCGGGTATAATAAATTAATTAGTTGCTCTGAATTATAAATTATTTAACATAGCCCAATACTGGCTCATAAATAGTTTGATCTGTTAAGAATAACCTACAACACAAAAGAGTAACCATTTACTCATGCTTAATGGGCTTATTATTGATACTGACTACACAGCAGCCAATTTAAATTGGTAATACTCTTGTTTTGGTTGAGAGATTTGAGATCAAGGCAGAAGTGTATGCTGGCAGAAATCAGGATTATTATTAACCATCATTTTTGTTTTTCTGTTTTTTAAATTAAAACATCTACTGGAAATATAATACTGAAACTGAAAAGTAAAATCATTGTGAGAGAGTAAATGTAAAAAGTTTAGACTGAGATGATGAAATTAAACAACTCCTAAATAAAATTATTTGTGGAAAATAAAAATAACCATACTCCTAACAAATTGGTTATACTTAATGTTTTAGATTGCTTACAATCATAAATAGGTACACAGTGGAAAAATCACACAAATCCATGTTTATTACACACAAATAGGCAAACATACCAAATCCCCGAGGGTCTGAATTGCCACTGTGGTAACTCTGGGCCTCATCATCTTCAGTGCCCCAATTGCTACAAAAGGAGGGAAAACATAATTACAAGTGACCTGGAGAACAGATATTCTGAAAAGAAAGCTGCAACAATCTTTGAAATCTTACCATGTATATATGCTACTTAATATACTTGGTCTAATCTGTTACTGTAAATATTAAGTTTTCAACTATAGAAAGAGCTAATGGGCAAAGAATGACTAAGGAGACAATAAAACTAGGCATCTGGATAAGAACAATAATTATAATAATAGCAACTATCATTTCTTGTGCTAAGTACTTTATACTTCTTTAAGTCCTCAGAACAGCTCCAAGGGCTAGATCTGAGTATCTGCATTTTATAAATGAGACTGCCACTTAGGGAGGTGATATAACTTGTTTAGGGTCGCAGAGGTATTGTCAGAGCCAAGACTCATGTCTAGGTCTTTCTGATTCCAGGGCTGTTTTGAATCAGGGGACACATTAAATCACACACCCTGAAACAAATAGTCTTTTGATAGTTTTTAGCGGGTGCACAGAAACAACATAAAGAATAAAAAAGAAAGAAGGGGAATGCCAATTTCAACAAAAATGCTGAAATTATGAAGACCTTACTTACAGTACCTAAACATTCATTAGCTACCGTTGGAAAAATATCTTGCCATTTCAGTCTTATATTCTCCATCTAAAAGGCAAATGATCTCACTTGCCCTATCCATGCCACAAGAACAATACAAAGACCATAAGATCCATATAAAATACTCAAACATACTGTTACAAGTTGAAAGTGATTAGGTAGACCTGGTTTGAATTAAGCTGATAAGAAAGGAAAAAAAGTTTAAAAAAAATAAGCTTCAAAAAAATGTAGAGTATATAAAAAAAATAAAAACTCATACTCACTGTGTCAGTTCAAGTGTAGCTTTTCTGGAGAATGCCCATGCTACTCTTTCATCTTTATCTTTTGGGATGTCATTTTTATCCTCATAAGCCAGGAAATAGAGTGAAAATTTCATAGTGGGAAAATCTAATTTTTGGAGTAGTCTGAAATTAAACAACAAGTCTGAATCAATTAACAATAGGAAAAGCTGATTCATACTAAAATCAACATAACAATATTCAAGTTCTACTAAGAATAAGAGCTGTACGTGGTGAGGCTGTTTTTTTTTGTTTTGTTTTGTTTTTTGCGGTACGCGGGCCTCTCACTGCTGTGGCCTCTGGCGTTGCGGAGCACAGGCTCGGGACGCGCAGGCTCAGCGGCCATGGCTCACGGGTGTAGCCGCTCCGCGGCATGTGGGATCTTCCTGGACCGGGGCACGAACCCGCGTCCCCTGCATCGGCAGGCGGACTCTCAACCACTGCCCCACCAGGGAAGCCTGGTGAGGCTGTTTTAATAGAAAAAGCAAGGAAAATCAATTTTAAAAAGTCTAATTTAAAAATATTTATTCATCTATATATATCAGTGAAATAAAAATTTTTTTTAAAATGGAAACTTTTGGGCTTCCCTGGTGGCGCAGTGGTTGAGAGTCCGCCTGCCAATGCAAGGGACGTGGGTTCGTGATCCAGTCCGGGAAGATCCCACATGCTGCGGAGCAGCTAGGCCTGTGAGCCACAGACGCTGAGCCTGTGCGTCCGGAGCCTGTTGCTCCGCAACGGGAGAGGCCACAACAGTGAGAGGCCCGCGGACCGCAAAAAAAATAAAAAGTAAAAATAAAAATGGAAACTTTTGTAATTCATCAATTCTTCAAATATAATGAAACTTAGTTGGATTTATGGTACTTGCTTATAAATGGCAAAAGGTATCTTCAAAAGAAAATTTTATTTATTTTTAGTGAAAAATATAACACATCACACCTTATTGTTCTTTCAGCTATACGACATTGAGTTAAAGAAAAATAAATTTATTGAGTTCTTACTATGCCAAAACTCCTAGGAAACTGAGGATAGGTGTTAAGAGAGAAGGACAGATTAATATCACAAAAGACATGAATGTCAACAATAAAGTGGTTACAGTATCAAATACTGCAGAAAGGTCAGACAGGATTAGGTCTGAGAAGAGGTGAGCAGATATGGAAAGGTCCTGTGAGGGCAGTTTCAGCAGCATGCGACAGCAGAAGCTGGAGAATGGGAGGTGAGCAAGTGAAACAGTAAGTGGTGGTCTACCTGTACAGATGGTCATGATGACGGGAAGGACAGCAAGAGAGCGGAGGGCAAGAATTATCCTAGAATAGAGAAGACTTAAGCTTTTTTGTAGGTTGAGGGGAAAGAGCAGTGGAAAAGGAGAGACTGATCATGAGAGTGCGTGATGAATTACTCATCCTGAGGTTCTGAGAAGATTCACTGAAGTCGTGGCCTCCAAACTGAGTTTAAAGAGGGTAAGATTATTTTGCAAGGAGTAGGGTAGAATGAAGATACACACAATACAATTTTCTTTAGATTAGGGAGGATTAAATGCTCAAACACGACCTCATTCAAAATCAACAAGAGGGAATCGTTGCAGCATAGCAAATGGAAAGTTTCTAGAGTTCTGTTCCAAATCTTTTACTTATTACTGTCATGTTATATGCCTTGGCCCACTAAGAGCTATGTACTGACTCATCACAAATAAGATTTACTCTAACTTGTTTATAATGATGTATCAAACACCTCAAATACTCCAATTCTGAAAACTATCTCTGCACCTACCAAAGCAGACGGACCAATCAGATGGGAAATGGAACACTTGAACCTGTTTTAACTTGCTT